GACAAAGTTGTATGTTTTCACTTTCATCTAGAAATCATTTTGGGGAGAACTGACATCTTAACTGAGTCTTCAAATCAATGAATATGATTAATATACCTCTCCATTTAATGTTCATTACTTAACATTATACTGGAGACACAGGGTAATCAGACAGAAAAATAAATTAAAGGTATATGTTGGAAAGGAAGTACACAGTCTTTATTCACAGACATCAGGACCACCTACATGAAAAATCCAATGGAATATACTAGATTCCAATGGAAACTCCTAGAACAAAGAAATTGCTTCAGCAAAGTTACAAGATGCAAGACCAATACTTAAAAAATTGTATGTCTACATACTGGTAATACAATTAGAAATTTAAAAACAATATTTAAAAAACAACAAAATTTAAAAAACAATTTATACATGCACTTAAAAACTATGAATACCTAAGAGATATTACTTTTAAAAATATGTAAGCTTGTCAGTGAAAACCTGATGAGAGAAATAAAGAAGATCCAAATAGAAGGATCAACTATGTTAGAGTTGAAGACTGAACATTGTCAAGATATCAATTCCCACCAACTGACTTCTAGATTGAAGACAATTGTCAATAAAATCCAAGAAATATTTTTATACCTAATGATATTTGTTCTAAAATTATCATAAATAAATGTAAGACAAAATGATTTTGAAAAGGAAGAACAAGTTATATACTTATTACAACATACAGCTAGCTATTCCACTCCTAGGAGCAGTATTCACCCAACACAAAGGAAAACAAACTTTCAGGAAAAGGAAAAAAGGTATAAACAATAAATATTCATAGCAGCTTTATTTATTTATTTATTTATTTATTTATTTATTTTTTTTTTTTGCCTTTTGCCTTTTTATCGGTACCGGGGATCGAACTCACGACTGCCTGCTTGCAAGGCAGGCGCTTATGCCGCTGAGCTAAACCTCCAGCCCCTAGCAGCTTTATTTATAATAGCCTGAACCCAAAAGTAACTCAAATGTTCTGATCAGATGAATGCACAGTCCACCATTTCCCATCCACATACAACAGACTACTGCTTACTCAGCAATAAATAAAAAGCAGTAGAACGTGATGACTCTCACGTTAATTACACTCAGTGCCAACAGCCAAAGAGTACGCACTCTGTGATTTCAACTCATACAGTATAAAATGAAAATTGGTCTATAAAGTCAGAAAGCAGATGGAAATCAGCCACAGAAGCTTAAACAGTACATGGTTTCTCTTATTTGGGAAACTCAAAATACATGTAGATAAGAGCAAAATACATGTAGATAATGAGAAATTGATCTTTTGCAAAAGGGAAGGGAGCCAAAGGGAATAAGAGAGAGGGTACGGGAAGCAAGGGAAAAATGATTATAAAAAAGAAGAAAAAAATGGAAATAGAATGTTTTCAAGTTGAAAGGGGATTAAGAGTTGGGGACAACAGGGAGGGATACGAGGATAAGGGGGGGGAGAAAAAGAATCAAGATGTGTGTTGTATGTGTACAAACTCCCTATGATAAATATAAAAGAAGAAAAATTTGGAAGCTAATATGACATTACTTACAGAATTAGTATACATTTTTTTTTCATCTTTTGGTGAATTTTTTTTTGAAGCAGGATCTCACTATGCAGTTCAGATTAGTCTTGAACTTACTTTATAGCCAAGGCTGTCCTCAAATTTACAGCAATCTTCCTGCCTCAGCCTCCCAAGTGCTGGGATTACAGGTGTGCGCCACCATGTCCAGCTAACATATACTTACAATAACTTATTTACTCTTTTTCTCACACTAGGGAGACAACGTCATGCTTGCACATATGAATCTGATTTATTTCACTTATCAGTATAGATTCAAGTTGCATTCATTTACCTATAAAAGTCTCTGGTTTATTCTTTTTAAGGCTCAGTAATACTTGATTGGAAAAAAAATAAAAAATGTTTATTCATTCTTCAGTTGATGGGCATTTGGATTGTTTTCAATATTTTGCTATTACAAATTATACTGCTGCAAACATGGAGACACATATGTCACGTATTATGATGTTTCTAATTCTTCTGGGAAAATACCCAGAAGAGGAATAGCTGGGTCAAATGGGACCTCCAATCCCAGTTTTTTGAGGAATCGCCACAATGATTTTCACAGTGGCTATACCAGTCTACACTCCCACCAACAGTGGGGAAGTATTCATTTTCCCCCCTCTAGCATTTATTATTGATTGATTTCTTGATAATAGCCATTTTTTCTGGGGCAAGATGTAATCTCAGTATTGTTTTAATTTGTATGTCTTGAATGACCAGTGATGTTGAACATTTCTTCATGTATTTGTTTTCTGTTTGTATTTCTTCATCTGAGAAGTGTGCATTCATCTCAGATGACCATTTTTGGATTGGATCTCTTAATTTGGTTTTTTTTTTTTTTTTTAGTTATTCATATGTTCTCAATAGTAATTATTTGTCTGAGGGACAGCTGGAAAACATTTTTTCCCCCCAGATTGTAGGTTGACCCTTCACTCTGTTGTTGGTTTCTCAAGCTATGCAAATGCTTTTTAATAAGATGAAATCCCGGTTGTTGATTCTTTGTGATTATTCCTGTATGATCAGGGTTTTATTCATAGTCTTTCCCTACACCACGTCTTCAAGAGTTGTACTGATTCTATATGCCAGAAGATTTAATGTTTCTGTTTTAATATTTAGATCTGGGACTGGGGATTTAACTCAGCGGTATAAGCGCCTGCCTTGCAAGCAGGCAGTCGAGTTCAATCCCCGGTACCGATAAAAAAGAAAAAGACAAAAAAAAATTTAGATCTTTAATCATTTCAAATTAATTTAGTGCACAGTGAAAGATATTATTTTTGGGTGACATTATACTTTACATAGAAGACCCAGAAGACTCCACTAAAAGACTGCCAGATTTAATAAGCAAATTCAGCAGCCGTAGCTGGATATAAAATCAACAGTCAAAAATCAGTAGCCTTCCTGTACACGAATAAAAAACCCACTAAGAAAGAAATTAGGGAAATAACACCTTTTACAATAGCATCCAAAAATTAGGGAAATAACACCTTTTACAATAGCATCCAAAAACCTGAAATATAATGAAGGATGTAAAAAAAAAAAACCTCTACATTGAAAACTACAGTACTTTTAAAAAGGAGATTGAAGAGGATATCAGAAAAATGGGAAGGAATACTTTGGGATAGGAAGAACCAATATAGTGAAAATTGCTATACTTCTAAAACTGTTACTCAGATTTAATGCAATTCCAATCAATATTCCAATAGATTTAATCCAATTAAATCTAAAGCAATTCCAATCAAAATTCACAAAATTAGAGAAACACTCCTTAAGTTCATTTGGAACCTGAAAAGACCTAGATTACCAAAGGCAATTTCGGGTAACAAAGGCAAGGCAGTGGGGGGGGGGATCACAATCCCTGCCTTAAAATTATACTATAAAGCTACTGTGATTAAAAACAGCAATGACACTGGCAAAATAAAAATACACAAACAGACCTGAGGAACAATAGAACACATTAGAAGATGCAGAAACAACTCCAGACATACTCAGTCACCTTATCTTTGACCAAGGGGCCAAACATATTCATGCTGAATATTAAAATCGGACCCAAGGTAAATGTAATTATGCACTATGAATAAAAATACATTAATCAAATTAAAAGAGATGGAGCAGAGAAAGAGAGTAGGGAAGAAGATTAAAAATAGAATTAAAATGTGCTATGTATATATACCAATTCCCCAGGAGAAATATAATAAATTTTTAGCCATAAATGTACTGCAAACATGAATAGATTAAAAAATTTTTAAGAAAAAATAGGAACCTGAAGGAGCAATTATAGAGACAGCAGATCTGAGGGAGGAATCTGCTATGTTTATTATCTTGGGTGCAGTCATAATTTCAAGGGTGCCAAAACTTGTGAAGTAGGGGCTGGAGGTTTAGCTCAGCGGCATAAGCACCTGCCTTGCAAGCACGAAGTCATGAGTTCAATCCCCCCGTACTGATTAAAAGGAAAAAGACAAGAAAAAGAAAACAAACAAACAAAAAAACAACTTATAAAGTTGTGAAGTGATCCAGTTTAGGTATCTTTTTATTTTGCCAATCATGTATCAATAAAATTGTTTATGAGGGGATATCTATGCAGATATACAACTATATCCTGATGTAATAAGCAAAAGAGGAAGTTCCAGAATATCACATATAGTTTGATTTCATATTTTGGAAAAAGAAAAACTAGTAAAACACAAATTTAAAAATCCAAAGCCCTTATTATTGCAGCAAGTAACCATCTAGGGCCTGAGCTGTTGCACAGTTCACGGAAGTGATTGAGTCATGTTTAACACCTAGCTACTGTCACTTTTGGTATTTAGAAAGCTTCTCTGCAAAAACTGTACATTGATAAAGAGTTGCACTTTCAGGGGAATTTAAGTCTTAGAACACTGGTAACATTAGTCACTTCTATTTGGAGAAGATGATCATTCACTGTCCCCACAAGGGGCCACAGAGGCTTTAGCAAGGCGACTTGCAAACACGGAAAGGTCCCCTAGGTGCCCTGGAGCCCAGAGTGACCACACACACTTTTTGGTAACCTGGGAATGAGTGGCGAGCGCTGGGCCTTCTGGCTGCCGAGAACCCGACGCATGCGCAAAGGGCTGTGTGTGAGGTGGCCGCGGGCTGCGGGAAACCTGCTGCTCTGCGGGCTCCCCAGTAGTTTCTTCTGGGCGCTGACGGGTCGGCTTCAGCCTGTGAGGTTCGCAGACGCCAGGAACGCCCGTAAATGAATTGGCTCTGTGTTTAAAGGGAACGTTTCCTTATGGGGAAAGTTTCACATTTGGGGTTAGCGGGGAAGGTAGGAGAGAAAAAGAAGCGAAGCACACACGCGTGACCTCCCATTTTGGTCAGCCGCTGGCACCGCCCCCGCCAGGCTTAGACCCCGCCCCGCTCCGATCCTGGCCCCGCCCCGCTCAGGCCCCGCCCCGGCAGGCCCCGCCCCCTGGGGGCTTTCCTTCGCCAGCCAGCCCCAGGCCGACCTGCCCTCCGCAAAGCCGGGACTGCAGTCCTGCGTGCGGTGGGAGGCCCCGGGTGGTGAGTTCCTTACCTTGTTCGTTTTCCTACATTAACAGGTCCCGCACCGAGGCCCCACCGGATTAGTCTCTCGTGCATCTTCATAGGGTAAGCCCGGAAAGGGTTGGTTTCGTTTCACCTCCTCTCTCGTCTGTCCTTACTGTATTGTTGTTTCTAATACATCTAATCGCTGAAAAGTGCTGTGTTACCCGAGGTTGCGTTTGCACGACTTCTTGAAGTATTTTATAGGTGTGTTGTGCTGTATAATGGAAGAGTTTAGCTTTACAGCCAGCAAGTCTTTGAAAAGTGCGCGCTGAGCTTGTCTGTGAAGGGAAAGAATCAGTATGCTTTCAGGTATGCAGGTTTGTGCGTTTGGTAGGTGTGACTTTAAAAAGACTTTCCCCAAAGTTGCAAAGTGATAGATAAATTCTGACCGTTTTCTCTCAGGAAAATATTGCAAGTGATCCCATAGATCATTTCTATTAAGTGTTAGATTCTTAGAGACCTTGGTACTAAAGTGGATGCTGCCCCTTTGCAGAAGGCTTAGTTGCCTAGCGCCTGGCTTTGGGTCCTCCAGCCTGTTTTTCTTTCAGTCTGCAGCAGAGGTTGAGGAGTGAAGCAGAAAGGGCTGTCTTAGTGGCGTCCCCACCACCACTGACATTACGGTATTTTAACAAATTGTCCATTTCAGGATCTATGCATCCCTTTCTTTGCGTTTCAGAAAGTGTTTTCAATCCAAGTGTGTTTGGCAAACTTCAGTCTTTATATATGACTTACTTAAAAATAAACATAACCTATCCTGAAAGAGCTTTCAGTTTAAGTAAATATATCTTAATATCAAACAGAGGGTTAAGAGACTATTGAAAATTGCTAATTACTCATAAAAATTTGAAAATATCAAAAAGATAGCAGGGACTTCAGGAAAGAATTGTTTGATATCAGTACTTTTCTTTCCTTGAACTGTTTGATTGGGGTATTTAAAAAAAAAAAACTAACTTTTCGACTTAGAAGGGAACTTGGAAGTCATATAGGCTGCAAAGAACATAAACCTTTTTGGAAGCATTGTAACAAATCATGTTTCATCCTAAGCTTGGATTTTATTTAATGGAAGGAAGTACTACTCCTTAACACAACTGATTCTTTTGCTAAAAAGTTATGTGTTTTAAAGCACTATCCTTGAGGCAACATCTTCAGCCTTCTTTCTAGCTTACGCCTCTCCAGGCATTGCGCCAGTGCCTGGGATTCCAGACCTCTCAGCAGTTTGCTTTCCCAGCATACCATTTTAGAAATTAGATTAACTAATGGTCACTTGATAATTATTTGTTCATTTTTTGTTGCTGCTTCTAATAAATTTATCTAGCCTATTGAGTTAGTTTTGAATCTTTATTCTATTATCTGCATTATTTACGTATTATTGCTATTATTAGGAAAATTGAAAATTTTAGAGTCTTTAAGTGCCTTTTGTAGGAAGCACTTGGTGATGGTTCATAAGACAGTGACTTTCATTGCTGCTCCTGATTGGTTTGATTGTGCCAGCCGCCTACCGTCTGATCTGCTTGATGATCTTCCTCTAACCTGGAGATTTTAGACACTTGCAGAGAACCTGATTCACATGGTCCCACCTGATTTGCCATGTTAGTAAACAAACCAAAAGAGAATTTGCTAGCCATTCAGTGAACTTGAGTTATTACAGTTTCCTGTATGTTAGTCAGCATGTTTCATGCTCCAGGGACTGTGCTAAGTATCCATCCAGCTCACTTACTGCTCCCTTTCAGAAGTGTGGTTTATAATTTTGTCACAGGGATGATATCAAGGAAATACTATGAAATAAGGGAAATACTATAACTCCCAACCTGTCTGATACATCAAGTTTGTGTTCTCTTTACATCGAAAAATGAATTCTAGTAATAAGGTTAAGAGTAAGAGATATTGAGAGAGAGAGAGAGAGAGACAGACAGACAGACAGAGAGCACCTGAGAGACAGGAGGGGCCCCAAATGGGCTGCCCAAGGACTTAACTCCTTAGGGATATTTTACAGAGCAAAACCCACAGGGGTGTAATGTGGGTTATAGCTATGCTTAACCAGTAATATTATAAATGTAATTATAAGTGGGCATGGAAAGATCAAAGAACTTCTAGGAAATGATGAATGTGGAGGTCTTGGGATGAATCTGGTCTGCTGGGATGACCAATGTCTATTGAGGCTTCACTAGACGTGGTGTTTTTCCTTTGAGGAGGTCTACAAGCCTGGTCATTTCATCTTTGTCTTGAGTTGAGGCCTGGTCTCTAACAGATGCCTACCTAGACACAGCTCAGATGTGTTTCACCTTGGTCTTCCCTCTCTTGAGGGTCTAACTCTATCTGACTGCCTATAATATTTCTGCCTAGCTTAGCTGTCTCTAATAATTTGACAAGGTCTTATATTCTGATTTCTCCTCTGCCAGCCTTCATAATTCCAGATAGTAACTCTGAGGCAGCAGTCAAATTCCTTCAGTAACCAGGGAAGTAACCCATCCTGAAGACTAATAACCTGATCTGAGATAGGTATTAGTGAACCAATAGTCTAAGGTAGTAATTCCTCATTAGACCCTCCCCAAAATAAAAAAAAAACAATAAAAATAGGCAATTTAAACAGATAGACATTTATTAGAAGTACAAATGGCCAATAATATATGAAAAAATTCTCATCATCCTCAGGCCCATCAGATAAATGCAAATTAAAACTACAGTGAGATACTATCTTACCCCAGAAGAATGGGAGTCATCATCATCATCACCAAAAAAATCTAATAATAATAAATGCTGGCAAGCAAGTGGGGGAAAAGGAGCTGTACTGCATTGTTGGTGGGAATGTGGTATTTGTGTACAGTGGAGTACTATGCTGCTACAAAGAATGATAAACTTGATGCATTCGTAGGTAAATAAATGCAACTTCGGAACATAATGTTAAGTGAAATAAGTGAGATTCACAAACTAAAAACTCTGATGGTTTCTCTTCTGTGAGGAGCACAAATAAAGCACAAAATAGAAAAAAGATAAATAGGAAATAGGGAGAAGTTCAAATATTTCCCCAAATTACAAATTTCATTGTTCTAAAAATAGTTCAAAATATGTGCTAGTTGGTTTCATTTATAGTACTAGTTTATCTTAGCTCATTGTAAAGAGACACTAATGTTAATAACTGTTTCTTTTTCATAAGAATCTTTTTGGTTTATGTCTTATACTCTGAGTAACTACTTTAAAGATAATGATACATTGTGTAATAACTGTTGTTATTCTCTTATGATTATGAAAATTTGTTCTATTTTCTCATTAAAAATTTAAAAGAATAAAAAAAAGAAAACAGAATGGCCCACAGCCAGACCCAGAAGGCCAGCTACCCTGCGTTTGCCGTGTTCTGTCACATGTAGAAGCCGGGGTCGGGGGAGAATAGAGAGACTGTGTAATGGGCAGGGAAACACAGTGAGGCAGAAAAAAACCAAGAAGAGCTACAGGCATTCCGAGGCTTAAAACAGAAAGAGATGATGAGGAAAAGGAAATGCTCATTACCTTGACTCGATCAGTACATGCTGTATTCGTGTACTGAAACATTACAGTGTACCCCATAAAAGGTACATGTGTTACATATTAATAAACTTTCTAAAAGTAAGAAGAATAGGTTAGATACAGGGAAACAGGCTGCATGCAGAAGTCAGTGGGAAGCTCCTGCAGTGAATGAAGTTGTCCTCTGATTCGGAGCATACGGTTGGCTACTTGTCTTCTCTTACAGTCTCTCTTGAGTGTCTCTCTGAAGGGGTGCGCCACAGCTTCCTTCATCCTTATCCCGGATGCAGGAGGAAGAGAATGGACACGCCCTTCCCATTATCTGGAGCAGTGCTTGGCTAATAACACAAGAACTGTTGGCAACAGGGCAATCAGATTGTAGAAATTTAGCCCAACTGCATTGCCATGTCTGGCCTTGTAACCACTACCTTAGGAGTGCAATTCAGAGAGAAGTTGAGAACTGGAAAGGGTAGAAAGCAGAGATTTAAGAGAAGTCTTTAGTGGGTCGGTAGGTTGCCTTGTCTGCTTCCTTTATCTGGCTGAATGTGACAAAGGCAAAATACATTCATGCATCTATTGCTTACCTTCTTTCCTTCTTCCTTCTTTAAAAATTCCTCCATGATACCAAAGCTATGAGTTTTATCCTGGTATGAACTTATTCTTCTCATCAATTTTTATAGACTTTGCTCTTAAATCTGACAGGGCATTTTGCCTGAAGTTGATCAAATCTCAAAAAGAGTGTGCTTGAATCAGTGCCGGAACTATCACTATGTCAGAGGCACATATTCTGTTAATCACAGACTAGTCAAACTATTTCCTATGGAAATGATAAAGCAATAGAAGCTGTAAATCTGCCTGTTCAGTTATTGTAACTGTAATAGTACGATATGCTGCTAAAAACTAGAAGTGAAGTGTTTACACCACCTATAAATGAATGAATGTAGTCACTCACTGTTTCACTTTGTGATGTCTGTCTGTAGCTATTAAAATGTAGTAAAGCTTCAGATGTAAATCCTGGCCAAGTATTGGAGTATTTCCACTAACCAGGCTATTTTTTTTTTCTTTTTTTAATGAAAGAAAGTAGTTATAGCATTCATTCTGTAACAGAATTCCCGAATGAGTATAAATAACAAAAGCATAAACATGACTGGATGTTTACTTATAATTCTGATGAATATGCTTTGTGGTGTTTTGCCAAGATAGGAAGTGAAATCAGATGGATGCTGGTGAGTACCGCATGGCAACAGTGGCTTCGTGTCATTGGGTCAGAGTGAACTATAACTTGGAAGCTTTCTTTAGGTAAGAAAGGCTTAACCAAGAAACAATCAGATTATTAGGTTTAAAAAGAAACAATTGGTGTTTTAAAAGGTCACATATTTTATGTCAGGGCTTTCAAGGTGATAAAAATCAATTTGTCTTACATTCTAAAATACCTTTCATTGATGTGCAGACATAAAATTGTTTATATGAAGTTCATAAATTGTGGATGAATTTTATGATCTGAAAATTTATGTCCACAAGGAAAAGAAAATTAAAATGTTATTTTTACTAGATGCTTGGTATTCACATAACCCTTTATTTATGGTGATTCTGTTATCAGTAAATTGGCAATTTAATGACTTTATTAAATAATTTTAAGAATCATGTTAATACAGTCAGATTTAATATATAGCATAATCCTTTTTTGTTTATTTCATAATGATTTTTTTAGAGAACTGTCAGGAGTTTTCTAACCTGGTATTTAGGTGAATTCTTTGTTTTATGTTTGGTTTCATGCTTCTTAGTCCAGGATATTAGGGATAATGTTTTTGTTAGTAATTTAGTGAGATTTTAACAATCCATTTTACAGTTTAACCAAATATGATAGATAACGAACAGAATGCTAATGACTGTGCTCAGTATCTGAGTTTAGAATCCAGCTTCCATTCCTTTACCTTATTGTTTTATAGAATTAGCTTTAAGGAGCAGATCAGTGGCGTGTGCTCTGAATTATTGGTAATCGGCAATTTCATGGCTCCTCCATTATATTCCATATGCATAACTGGTTTATTCAAACTCAATATATATAGGAGCTCTGTTTTGATACTTGAAATACAGCTTTGCAACTATTTTTATTTTTCATTTCAGTTTTCCGAACCTTAAAGATGATTTTCCATTGTAGGGATTTCATAGGCCAGTCTTGCTTCTGGGCTTCAATGCTATATTGCAGTTAAGAAATCTTTCATGTCAAACAGAGTGAATCACAAGACAGATACATTTGCATGTTAAATATTTCATTAGACTTAATGGTGTGTTTCAGTTATGACACTGAGTATTCATTCCATATACATACTCCTAACATTGCAGGGTAAAAGGAGCATTAGTTAAAATTTAGAACCACTCTTACCATTATTTTGCTTTTCAAATGATTAATACTTAAAAATTTTTGGATTCTTACATATGTTATGTGTAGAAAATGATCAAATTTTTGAGTGTATTTGGATTTCAGAATTGTTGGAACTTAGCTGTGTCCCAAGCTAATACCCATAGATTCCTCTTTTCCTTGGGGGTAGAATAAATGCCCATTCTCTTGCTATTTATTATTGACTAGAGAATCTGGGGTGGTGCTTGCACAGAGAATTCTGTTCATGGTAAACCCACCTTTCCTAGAGCTCCTGTGCACCCACTGCTCTATGAAAATTGTTGTGAACCATTTGCATTTTTTTAAGAATGATGCTTTGACTTAAGGAATGAAAATTGCTCAGAAAAATCCACTGGACAATTCAGTATAATAACACAGACTGCAAAATTCATTAAGTACTTTTTATGTGATGCCACATAAAATACTGCAGTCCTCACAACAACATTATCAGATGAGTACTGCTGTTCTCTGTGCTTTGTAGATGAGACAACTGAGGCTTAAAGAATAATTTCTTCTTACACGATCACATGATCAGTAAGTAGCTTAGCTTGAAACTTAACCCAGACCTAGTCTTTTAATTACAGTCTTCTGTAATTAAGACCTCCTAGGAGTTCTTAGCAACATTGTAATGTGATGCTACCTTCTTTTTAGGATTTAGTAAGAAACTGTAATTGACCAGGGGAAAAACTGAGACATCAATGCATTACTTCCTCGGACATTTCCTCTCAGAAGCTTCCTAACTGCTTCTCTCACGTGCAGATTCATTCATATTCCTTTCTCTTTTTCTTATACTGAAGCTTGTCCCTACCTCAGTCGTATCATTTATCATTGCAGCTTACCATTTAATCCTAGCTTTAAGAGTAGATTTACACTTAACTTAGAATCACTAGCACAAAGCAGCACCTGTTAATGTGTAGAAGTGGAAGATGGTCACTACACTTGTATTAACTCCATTTCCATTCTCTATTATTACTCTGTACAGGGGTAGTGTGTTAATTTTTGATGGAAAAGTAAACAAGATCAAATGCAGAATATTCTGATATTCACAGAATGAAGAGGAGTGATTTCTCGGTGGTGAATACAGTTTCCCCGTCATCACCAGCAGTGAAACGGCCCAGACCTGGCTTCTGCTCTTCCCTAGAGTGCAGTCACATGTACGCTGTCCTCCAAGACTGGGGGAGTTTGCCTCACCATGTGGTGTTACGAATTTTTCAGTATCTTCCTTTAATAGATCGGGCCCGAGCATCTTCTGTGTGTAGGAGATGGAATGACGTGTTTCATGTTCCTGACCTATGGAGAAGGTTTGAATTTGAACTGGACCAGTCGGCTACTTCGTACTTTAAGTCTACACATCCAGATCTCATTCAGCAGATCATTAAAAAGCACGCTGCACATCTTCAGTATGTCAGCTTCAAGGTAAGGAAAGGAAGCGCAAAAGATGAGCATCCGTTTATATTTCATTCACGACATTTTTGTGTATCTGGATCCTTGAGTCACTCAGTAAATTTTCCAGAATTTTTTTTCCAGAGCGTTTCTTGTTTTTCTCTAGTCATTGTGCAGATTGAAATAGAGAACTTGAACTGTAATTGAATAACTTAATCTTTAACTTTCTTCATCTGGATGGTATCATAAAAAATCAGGTAAATCCTAAAAGATTTAAAACTAAGATATCTTTGTAACGTTAATTTGTCTGCATCTCTTATTTCTCACTTTATGAGACACTCTGTATAAAGCAAAAATATTCTTTTATATTGATTGAAGGGGCAGGTAATATTTTTCAACTGAATCCTATTGGAAAGTTCAGATTAAAAATTTTCTTTACAGGTCCATAGTGGTGCTGAGTCAGCAGAAACTGCCTGCAATATACTTTCTCAGCTGGTACATTGTTCTGTCCGGACTTTGGGACTGATTTCAACAGCCAAACCAAGTTTTATGAATGTGTCAAAGGTAAGGATCCTGTGCTTTTTTGTGAGATAGAGTAAATTCTTAAATATTGTCGAACTATGAAGAAAAAATTCCTCTCTATCCATGTCCTATTCTAGTCAAATCCATGTCCTGCTCTGGTCAAAGGATCACTTACAGCAGTTTCTGTTGATTAACACTTATTTTTAAGTACTTCATACGTGTTTTCATTCTTTGGTTCTGTTTTGTCGTTTTAGTAATTATTTTCACTTAGGTGTCATTAATACAAAATTCATTCATGATGGAACAGGGCAGGGAGGACTTTTTCCTTCAGGATAGCTGACAGGGGGAAGCCCTGATTGGGTTAGGTGGGGGCCTCTTGATGTGGGGCTCTGCTTTGTAACCTATGCACAGGAATTAGAACGGGAGGAATGGTTGGGGTGAGGTGGAGAGGGATGCCCTTCCTTGGCTACTTGCTGCTGTGTCCCTACTTGGGGCTTCATGTCCTTCCACGAACACAAAACTGAGTAAACTGATGGATATAACCCTATCTTCAACAAAGAAAAAGCTCTTACCACTTGGTCCTCCATTGATAGCACAAAGCAGACTAGTAATTTTATACTTAAACATCAAAGCAAGAACAATTCTATATGGGTTTGTGAGTGTATGTGGTTTTTTCCTTTAAAGAGGAAACCATTGTGGTCATTGGGTACCAAATTGGGTTTAGAAATAAGGACCTCCTTTCTGGCAGGGGTGGTCAGTGTGGCTATTGGTCCTTCATGATCAAGTAGAAGTGTCCCCACTGCCCATCCTTCTGCAGGAGGAGGACCCTGGACAGTCAGTAGGTGGACTGCAGTCCTAGCGGTCACCTGAGCCTTGAGGCTAGCTTTAAAGACACACCACACGTACTTGTTCACACTCGGACTTCTCAGAAGTGCGAGTTGCTTGTTGGCTTGAGCACATCACGGCTATAGGAGTCTTTTCTGGTGGGTCTGGCATATGACTAAAACAGGCCTTTTGGTATATTAAAACTTTTGAAAGCAAAACAAGTTTAGATTTTAATCCAAGTGTTAGGGGTTTTAAGTGTAATTTTACAGAATTGCCTGTAAGTTTCAGCTATCTCCTTCTGTGGGTTGTTGGGGTGGAGTTTAAACACTTGGCATTTTGTACCGTAATGTCTTTCCTCCCTGTGTAGAATATTCCTTCCAAGTTTCCTAAGGAGTTGTTTCTTTTATAATAAAACCCACCCCCACTCCTACATCTTCCTTCCTTTTCTCTAGTTTCTGTGCTGGGTGCAGCAGGCCAGCTGTGGTTTTCTCTTATTCTGATGATTTCTAATTGCCATCTCCAGCATGTTCAGTTAGCTAACTACTCAGTGTAAATAACTGGAACTGCCCACAGCAGTGCTCATAAATCAGCCTAATACTTGTAAGATCTGCAAAATAATAAATAAAATTTAGATGTTAAATTTACCATTTTCAAGTGGTAGTTTATGCAGTTATTTTGAATATGGAATATATAAGGGCAATCCTGTGTTTTTCCTGTGATTCTATAACCTTTCTTTTGGAGCAGTATGGGGTTTAGCTAAAGGAACTATCCTAGCTTGAGCAATGATTGAATTCAGACAAGGGAAACTCCAGCAGTGGCTTTAAAGATGTGACTAAATTTTTCTTCTTTTGCATTAAAGAAATCCATAGGCGAGACCTTCCACATCAGGTATGATGACGTCATTAGGAATCTAGTCCCCTTCCAGCTCCTCCACTCTCCCTGAGCCTTCTGCATAATTGTCCTTGCCTGAGCTGGCTCTCTGAAATCCAGGGTGGTCCCGTCCTTGTTCTAGGCACCTGAACGGAAAGAAAACACAAGGGGTAAAGAAGGGCCTTCTTCTCAAGCAGACTTCCCTTAAGTCCCCAGAACACTCTGTGTCTTGGTCTGGGACCACACGACATTCAGGAAGAGGAGGGAATAGTTTTGTAGCAACAGACCCAGCTAAAAACTAGGAATGGATAATCAAAGAAGAAAAGATGAATGATTATTAGCAAGCAGCAACTGTCTTGGCCACGGAAACTGCTGTCTTTTCTTTATTCGGGCTCACATTGCGTGCTCTCTCCACATAGCCGGCCCTTCCTTCCAAACCTCCTTTGCTAAACCAGCAGCCCTCTTCCAGTCACTATCGTCTGTGTCACAGTATTTTATCTTGTCATTCCTTGGTACTTGAAGCCACCTTATTCACTTACCATTGTTTATTAATGTCTTCCCTGCACCAAAACATGAACTCTTGAAAGAAGAGACCCTGTCCGGTTTGTTTACCATGTTAAACCCAGAATTAAAACAATGCCTGATGTAGGATGAGCACCAGGCTGTGGTTGTCTGGCTAATGGGCTCCTCCCCATTGTAGAGGCGGGAAGCCTAACAGCATCTTTGCATTCAGAAACTGGGTCAAGCTGGCTGTCTTCTAATGAGTCTTTCTGCAACATGGTTACCTTTCAAAGAGATACCCTGAAAAAAGGGGTCATTTGGGAATTAGAGTAATGTAAATAATCAGATGGAAACTTATACTTTTTAGTAGTTATTTCCTTGTTTATGAAATGTAAAATCAAATGTTTGTTACATGCTAAGAGCTTGGCTACTCTTCTTGCATAGCAGCCTCCAGGGCCTGCTCGCAGGGTGGCTGCTGCCTTCGGCCAGACCCCATGCTTCATCTTAGGCCCAAAGTTCAGTCAAACTGAGCTCCATGGCCTCTGCCAAGGTTGGAGATGTCTCCAAGGCTCAGGTTTTTTTTTCATTTATGCGCTAAGGAAAAATAAAATTATATCATTCTTTGCTAAGCATAATAATTACTAAATAAATACATTATTGTTATAATGAAATACATACTTTAAAACTGAAATATATTTAAAACTAAAATGATTGAATTAATAAAAGAGGAAAATAAATCTATTTCTTATTAAAGGGAAAATGACATTTTATTAATAATTTGGTACCATCATATTTGTTTAGCCTATCACCATGTGAAAATTTGCATAAACTAATATATAATCAGCGTACTTCTATAAACCATTAGCATTTGTAACCAGTTTATCATTCCAATGGAAATAAGAGATCCTTTAGTAGAATCCAGATTGATTTTGAAGAAGGAAAAGCGAGCATGCCCGGTGGGTGTGGTTTTCAAACTTCATATCGTTGGATCTGAAAACTTGTCAAGTTCAAATTTTGAAGTTGAAGTACAAGCTTTGGCTTCTAAACTTTCAAAGCATGTAAAGATTTGGATATATTTCATCTAGGTAATTTGCTAAGAGAAGTGTATCACTAAAGCAAAATGAAAAAGATTGTAAAAGCTATTCCCTCCCTCCCTCCTGCTCTCCTCTTCCTGCAAATTTTTTGAACATCTACAATGAACTAGATAGTATTTTAGGTCTGGAAATACAGGAGTAAGTAAAACATTTAAAAAGAAAATTCGTTTTTTCTAGAGAAGAAGTCTTTTCAGGTCTAAAAACTAAATATTTCAGGCCTTGAAGGCCATGCAGTTCTGCTCCAGATACTCAGCTCAGGTCTTGCAGTGGAAAGGCCAAAACAGAAGATGCCTAAGTGCAGGGGCATGGCTGGCTGCCAGGCTTTATTTATGGACCCTGAGTTCTGCGTGTCTTTCAGGGTTCGCACAATGTAACTCTTTTATTTTTTTTCCCACACTTAATCACTTTCCTTGTCACTGGGACCAAGTACCCGACTCATCAGATATTAAAGAAGAGGTTTAGCTTGCTCACGGTTTCAGGAGTTTGCATCCATATTCAGCAGGCGCAAATGCAGAAACAGCACTGTGGAAGAGCCTGGTGTGGACCAAAGCTGCCCATGTCATGGTGGCCTGGTACCAGAGAGGGAAGGGGAGGAGCTGAGGAGAGAAATATACATGCCAGGCCCCACCTTCCACAGCACATTGATCACCCTGTAGTAGAGTGATCCAGTCACCTCCCAGAATCCCTATCTCTGAACACACGAGGCTTATGGGGGATACTGTAGATCTAAACCAGAACCATAGCTTAACAATGTAAAACTTCTTCGCTCGTGACTCATATAGTAACAGATTGTGCTAGATTTGGCTAGTGGTTCATAATTTGTCAACCTTATTCTAGGAAATAAATATAATTATATCCTTTTAAAACTGAAAATCTGATTCTTCCAGGCTGGAAATAACTGGAAATTTTGTTTTATGAAATTTTAGAAACTTTTTCCCTTTTACTATTCTCTTTGTCAATTATAAAACAATAAAACTACACTTTTAGTGTAGTTTTGTTCTAAAAATATCTTTCATTGGCTAATGGTACTATGAAAACAGTAATATATTAATTTTTACTGTATTACTGTTCTCATACTGAGATAGTTTTAATGCCTTGTTTATGAGTGAAGCTGTAAAATTTTAAATAATGTTCCCATACTTGTTTTCTTATTGCCATGTAAGTCTCATTTTGTGTCAGCTCTTACGGTTGTGTTCATCAACTCAAAATCATTATCATCAATCAAAATTGAAGACACATCAGTAGACGATCCTTCCCTGAAGATTCTCGTGGCCAATAATAGTGACACTCTGAGACTCCTAAAAATGAGCAGCTGTCCTCATGTCTCTTCTGATGGTAGGTGATATTCTTTTAAAGACTGAATTACTTTTCTATTAGAGTAAAAGTAACAGTGGAATTTTTCTTTTGTCTTTTTGAGACAGGGTTTTGCTGTGTAGTTCACGCTGACCTTGAACTTGCTATGTAACACAGGCTGACTTCAAACTTTTTTTTTTTTAATTTTATTTAAGGAGAAAAGAAAAAAAAAAAGCAGGGAAAGGGTACAAGTTATACAGATTTACAGAAAAAAAATGAACAGTAGGAAATCACTAGTTAATGGATTACATATTGTCATCTTAGAAATAATTGTTCAAGTCACAAAATTAAAGCTTGTAGAGTGGACATTCCATCAATGATACTGCAAACAGTTCTGTTCATTGATCCAATAAAACTCTGTGATATCATTTTCTATCTTATACACTTAAATATACATGCAGTTATATAGTTTAGAGTACTTTCTTTTCCTCTCTTTTGTACCATGACTATTACACATTTTGGGTTTCATTGCTCCCACGGTTCTTATTACTTTTTTGGAAGAGAGTAAAACCAAATGTGACATAACAGAACAGAATCGGTCAAGTCAAAAGGGTGGACATAATAGATAATGTAAAAACATAATACAGGTGATCAACAATGGTTACCATAATGTCTCCCGCTATCTCTAATAGAATTGCCTATATCATTAGTTATAATACAATTGAACAAAACAGTAAAGAATAAAACCGACAAAACCAAAACATTGGAGACATTGTAGGTCTTCAAAAGTAGCTAAAAGTCAACAAGAATGGGCGTCATAATGAATCTCATTATCTTCACAGCTGATGCCTAAACTTTCGAACCTGATACTATCCAGCAAAACAGAATAGGGGAACATCAGTTAAAAACCAGATGGTGAGAGTAATACAGGGCTTTAAATCAAGGTAATGAAAAGTCAAAATGGGTTACTATAATATATCCTGCTATTTTTTTCCTTTAATTAAAAGGATAAAGATAAAAAAGTAAATAATGGAGTGGAGATTGAGATAAAAGAGGGCATAACAACGAAACAGCGCAGATCAAAACATAACCATTTAAGCAGAATAGTGTTTCACCACCAGATAATCCTAACCTAAAAGTAGTTACCATATTGTTTCTTTCTTTGAAATCCTTGAGTACAACTTCGTATACTGTAGCATTAAGTATATCAAAACAATGTAAAACCATTCAAGAGAATGACAGCATTACAGAGTATTTAGAATCGACTAACAGAAAATGAACAATGGTTTCTGTATAATCTCCTTGTCTTTAAAAGGTTTTTGCTTATACTATCGTACATAATAAAATCCAATAAGATACAGCCTATTTAGACCATTGGAGACAGAAGGACAAAAGCTAGATGAGACTTCAAAACAAGATGATACTAAATCAGTATTACCTATTAAGATGTCATTTTCTCCAAAATAGCTGTTCCTATCATCCAATCTTCTCTGCCTCATTTCTGTTAAGCTCTTTTTCTGTCAGTAGCTGTCAGTTTGTCTTCTTCATTTTGTTCTCTGCTCCATTTGTTGTGGCCTCCCCGCCACTATTTCTGGGTTCTTTGTATTTTTCTTTTTTTAGAATATCCTGCAATACTTTCTGTAGAGTTGAATTGGTGGTTGCAAATTCCCCCAGTTCCTCTTTATCCTGGAAGCACCTTGTTTTTCCATCAATTTCCAGGGACAGTTGTGCAGGATATCTCAATCTTGGCTGGAGATTATTATCTTTCAATGCTTGAATTATTTCCCCCCACGCTCTTCGTGATTTGATGGTTTGTGCAGAGAAATCTGCTGTAATTCTGATGGGTGTTCCCTTGTAAGTGGTCTGTTTCTTGTCTCTTACAGCTTTTAATATTCTGTTCTTGTATTGAATTTCTGGAATTTTTATTATTATATGCCTGGGTGTTGCTCTGTTTGGGTTGTAGGTAGCTGGGGTCCTGTATGCCTCATACATCTGAGTATCTTTACCTTTTGCTAAATTAGGAAAATTCTCCTGGATTATTTCTGTGAGTAGCTTTTGTAGTTCACTTGTTTGCATCCCTACTTCTTCTTTTATGTTCTTAATCCTTAAGTTATGGATCCTCTTATCATCTTCTTGTCTTTGTATTATTGCTGTTTGTTTCTTTGTTATTTTTAAGAAGTTTTTCATTTCATTCTCCCATATTACAGCTGACTTCAAACTTATTATCCTTGTGCTTCAGTCTCCCGAGTGCTGGGATCACAGGGGCACACCAACACATGCAACTTTATAGTTTCTTATTGAAAATCACATATTTATGAAACATAGTTTATTGGAGTGATTTTATTCAAAATAAGTGTTAATTTTCAAGCTATATATATAATTTAAACTGCTTCTCTTGCAAATATTTTAATATTTTGTGTATACATTGTATTATCTGTATAGTTAATATCTTTGGAACCATCTACTCAGAAATCATTAATATTTGTTGAAGGAAACAGTGAATAACCAGTATCAAATTTAAATTTGCCAAATGCTATATTAGTGCGAGTCTTTGCTAAGAAATCTTCTCAATTTCACACAGGAATCCTTTGTGTGGCTGACCATTGTCAAGGCCTTAGAGAACTGGCATTGAATTATTACACCCTAAGCGATGAACTCCTCCTGGCACTCTCAAGTGAGACTCATGTTAATCTTGAACATCTTCGAATTGATGTTGTAAGCGAAAATCCTGGGCAGACAGAATTTCATTCTATTAAAAAACACAGTTGGGATGCACTTATTAAACACTCTCCAGGAGTTAATGTTGTTATATACTTCTTTTTATATAAAGAAGAATTTGAATCATTCTTTAAAGAGGAAACTCCTGTTACTCACCTTTATTTTGGCCACTCAGTAAGCAAAACAGTTCTGGGACACATAGGTAGGAACTGCCCACGACTGATAGAGCTAGTGGTGTGTGCAAATGGCCTTCAGCCTCTTGATAATGAACTTATTTGTATTGCTGAACGCTGCAAAAACTTGATGGCCTTGGGCCTCAGCGAATGTGAAGTTAGCTGCAGTGCGTTCCTTGAGTTTGTGAGACTCTGCGGGAGAAGGCTAACCCAGCTCTCCATCATGGAGGAAGTTCTGATCCCTGATGACAGATACAGCCTAGAAGAAATTCACACGGAAGTCTCTAAGTACCTGGGGAGGGTGTGGTTCCCTGATGTGATGCCTATCTGGTAGCCAGCTGCCAACGATTCTGCACGATTATTTTTTCCTCTGTAAGATTAGCTGCTTTCTACCTATGCAAATGTAAATTTTAAGATTCCTTATTTAGGATGAATATTTTGTTATTTGTGAATTGTCTTAATGGTTTGCAGCAGAATAATTTGAAAAAGTGTAAGAAATTTGAACAGCCAGAAATCTGTTAGTACAGCACAGAGTGTGTTAGATTAGATGGCTGATAAACTAAAATCTACAGATGGTTTCTAGGTAGATTCCTCTGCCTTCCTTAAAAGCGTATTTTGGCTTACTAAATAAATTTATAACATTAAAGTTGGTCCCTTAAATTATATGTTTTACTTTGTAATTTCATATTGTTTTCATTTTTTCTGGCTCATCTTGGCATTAATATATTTTACATAGTATTAAAAAATAAGAGTGCAATCCAGAGACTTACTTAATTGTATTTAGAAAATTTTTAGCACTCTATAAGATCACCTTTTAAAGTGACTTGTTGTTAGTGTGTTTGCAGTACATAATGATAACACTTAACGTGGGAAGTTTGCACATAACACATCTTAATTTTTCATTTGTCCCCTCCCTTCCCATCCTTCTGTGCTCTCTCTCTGTCTCTGTCTCTGTCTCTGTCTCTCTCTCTGTCTCTCTCTCTGTCTCTCTCTCTGTCTCTCTCTCTCTCTCTCTCTCTCTGCCCTATCCACTGGCAAAAACTGTTTCCATTTTTTCCTTCAATTATTTTTTTATTCCTTTCTCTTCCTTTCCTCCCCGCTCCTTTTCTTATTCTTCTTCTAATTTGAAGATCTCCCTCCTTCCTGTTATCTGTCCTTTATCTTGCTCTTCATTTATAGTTTGAGATTTCTCATGTAAGAGAAACTAAGCAGTAAACTTGAGAGTCTGACTGAACCAGCTTCTGATTTCCAAAATTCTACTTTGTATCAAGTATTTTTATTATGTAATAGTTGGCATTAGATAAAATTAAATTCTAATTCATTTTAGAAAGCTACCATGAAAGCAAAAAGATACTGTGATTGTTAATTGATTAAATACCTGAAATAAAAGGGTAAATTTCATATGGTATTTTGGGGAGGGAATAAGCATTTGTCAGCCTTAGATATGGATGCAAGAATATGCCAGATCCTTTGTGTAAGCCATGTAATTATTTAAAGCTCTTTCCTGGCTTGTTGTCTTTGGAAGGAGGCTCTCTGCAAAACGACCTAGTCCGGCTTCTCGCTCCCTCCTGGCCTGATTTTCTCCACTTGCTGCTCTTTGACTTGCATTGTCTCAGTTCCGCAGACTGTCACACCCTCCAGTCAGCAAGCATCTGCGCCTTCTCCCTGGCTTTCCCTTTCCATCTGCAGCTTCTCAGTATTAATTCATCACTGACGCCTCCTTTGATACTTGGCCCGTCCCTGCTCCTCGGTCAGGTTCCTGTTGTGCAAGCAGTCAACACTGTGGTTGTCTTTTGCAGTATTTACTGCTGTGTGACTGTAGGCACTTGTCTGATTGTTATCAGTGTATTCCATGGCAATGTAAACTCCATCAGTGCAAAAACCACTGTTGTTTTTTGCTGTTACATCCCCAGCATCTAATGTGCTAGTTATATTGAACACAGTAGACATTTTCCTTAACTATTTTCTTTCAAACTTGTTCTCCTGCATACTTTCCCTAGTGTCTTAAATTTATTTCTTAGAAATCAACTAAACTAAAAAAGAAATGTTTTTATCTTACAAGTTTGAATCTTTTTAATAACAGCTTAAATATCTTCACCTGATAAACTACCAGAATGCATTTTGACATCCTTTCACTGTATTCAGAGGCTGCTCTCAGGCCCATTTTCCACACTGTGCCCGTCTCCCTGATGAACCCCGTTGGGGCAGGCGCCTCTGACTCACCTTGGTGTCTCTTGCTCTCAGGACAGAGTGTTCTACACTAGTGAACGTGCAATGCATGGTAATGGCATCGAGTCTACTGAGCAAAAAATACACCACCAGTTTCTGAAAGACTGAGTTACTGTCTTGCACATTGCATTATTTGTGTCTTCTGATTTCAGGAAAGTTTTCTAGCATGAAACAGGAAACCTGAAATCTGATCATGGTAATGGAGTCACAGACAAGAGCTGGCTTAACTGAGAAGGAGTTGGGGATCAAAGTAATGGCACACATATTGCAGAGTTAAGGCTCTGGTGGTACCTGTATTGCTTTAACATAGATAGCGGAGGAGACGCAGGAAGATACTGTAAGATACTTACCTGCACAGAAAGCTGATAAAATGGCCAGTGGTGCTTGCACTAGGAGGTAAAGGATGCAAAACAGAGAGAAGGACTCCAGCGGAGCTGTCAAGGGAGAGCTTCTCCCTGTAGCCTAGTAGTGCAGAGACAAGGAGCCCATTGGGCTCTTCACCCAGGACAAGCAGTTTGGCTTTCAATTGTTTAATAGTTGAACCCTATGAATTAAGCACTACAGTGAATCTTAGAGCAAAACTCAGTGTAATCTAAGTTCATTAACTCATGTTGAGGCCCTGATTGGTCTTATTACTGAGTGATCTATGAAAGGGCCAACTTTTTGTGTGTGTATGATATTTTTAAAATAGGACTCACATTTGACTTTCTTTCTTTTTTTTTTTTTTTTTCTTTTGTACCAGGGATTGAATTTAGGACTTTGTGCTTGCCAGGCAGGTGCTTATGCCGCTAAGCTAAATCCCCAGCATGTGTGTATGATTTTTAAAGACAGGGTCTTGCTGTGTAGTTTAGACTGCCTCCGATCTTACTGTGTAGCCTAGCCTGGTCTCAAACTTGTGGCAATCCTTTTGCCTCAGCCTCCCGAGTGCTGGGATTATAGGACAAACATTTTTAAGAGAACCCAAAATGAGAAAATATGGGGTGTTTTTAATGTTTTACCTAATAAAAATAATCTCCTCATAACTGGAAGTGTATGAAAAGTTACTCAGTACTGTTACTTCTCTGTCATGTGAACTTTATGGTATTTCAACTAAAGTTGAATAATTCAACATCCCAACCAGAAGATAAGGAAGGAAGAAAACCCATACTTACATAATACAGCAGAGGGCGCTGAACTCCAGGTCTCCTGTGATCTACAGTCTGCCTTCCCCTTGAACAAATATGAATGCTGAGCAGAAAGCAGTGCTCTTGCTGTACTTTGGGAAAGATTATAGGAAGACTAAGCTTAGATTTCATTGTTTAAATGTTAGACCTCTTTCAAAGTTGTCTTTAAAGCCTCTGTGTCATTTTCTCCTTTTTTGTGTCTTCAGTAGGAGCCCAGTCTTCATCTGTTAAAAGGCAATTTAATTTCTAGAAATAATCTAAAGATACTGGGGATAGGCATGATGGCACACTCCTGTAATCCCAGCACTCAGGCGGCTGAGACAGGAGGATGGTTGCAAGTTTAAAACCAGCCTGGGCTACAAAGTGAGTTCAAGGCCAGCCTGAACTGCATAGCGAGACCCTGTCTCAAAAAGATAAATAAATAAATATATTGGGGTACAAAGTATATAAATAAGGAAGACTATTACATCAGATGGTGCTGGATATAGTTTTTTTCCTAACCAAAAATTAAGTTCTTAGCTTTCTAGCTTTACATATTATGACACAGTGGTGAATAATCCAGCTAGATATGAGAGTGTTAATTTTCTCACCTATTTGAGATTCAGCATTAACTCTTCTTCCTGGCCACCTATATAGAAGTCCTGTTGCCTGTGTAACGTATTATTTGTAGCAGTTGTCAGTCATAAAGTCACCCCCAACTGTAAATCTACGCCAGTGACAGTAACTTAAATCTCCCTCTATTGGGGCTGGGGGTTTAGCTCAGCGGTGTAAGCACCTGCCTTGCAAGCAGGCAGTCGTGAGTTCAATCCCTGGTACCGATAAAAAGGAAAAAGACAAAAAAAAAAAAATCTCCCTCTATGATTCTTCTGTATCCAGCCCTGGGGTAACTAATTGCATCATTTTCTTGCTTTCTGTTTAATTTTACTACTTTTGTATGTGTTCTTAGAAATGTTTTGATTTCAGTTGTTTGGACTTTAATAAAAAGTGTTAGGCTTTATGTGATCCGTTTCACTTTTCCTAAATTTAAAATTACTGTGTATTTCTGATTCATCTATTTTGTTATGTTTAGAAGAGGTTCATTTATTGTGATTGCTGTAGAATATTGCATTCCATAACTATAGTAATTTTTGAAATCTGTTTACTTTTGATGAGCATTTGGATTATTACTGATTTTGCTATGACAAATAACAATATCATGAACATTCTTACACATAGGCCCTGATACATGATTGGATAAATTTCTTCCATAATAAAATTCACTTATTTTTTTGGCTACCACTTCTTCTCCTAAAAATGGACTCATTTTCCTGGAATTTTCTACATTTCAAAGGAATTTAAGCAGAAATTTATAAAGTTTCTACAATGATTAATTTGTTTTTTTCATTTCTTACTAACTCAAATCTAAGAATTCTGAATTATTTCTGGTCCTTTGAACATTTTTATGTTTTTGTTTTCTCTCAGTACTTGTTACCAACATAACTAAAACAGAATAGTACGTAGTGATGTATAGAAATAAGCTGTGATTAAATATATCTAGTTGACTAGTTGAGGCCAACTGACTCAGTTCCATGAGACACTTTTCTTTCTGGTACTTTCTGAAATGCAAAATATGTTTTCTTTCTATAATTTGCTATCATTCATTACCTAGGAAACTAGCTACTTTTACAGAATGTGAATGGAAGGACTACAAAATTCTTATCCATGTCAGCAGCTCTCCTTGCAACCAATCTAAGGATATTGCTGAGAATCTTGTATTTCCTTACCTCAAAGGAAGGTTCCAATTTTTTTGACCATACACTGTTATACCTAGAATTATAAGCTACCCTTCATTCTTATGCTGTACAAAGACGCTTGGGCTCTTTCACACTTGCAGACAGAAAGGAGGCCAGTTTCAGAGGTATCAGAAGTGCAGTCTGGGCCTGCTTGGATTCACTTGTTTATTTACCCCAGATCTTTAGGACTTACAAATCAAAAACATGAAAGTACTGGAGGTGACAGAAAAAGATCTAAAAGCCCCACTAAATTCGTTCAGACATGAACATCAAAGTGACTGAGTCAAAATCAAAATTCATCTTTCTTGCATTTATTTTGTTTCTATTTGAATACAGGCTTCTTCAGATATGAGGCAGGCATCAAAGTTTCTAAGGCGATGGCTTTTACTGATAAGGTCTTGTCTTGGTCTTCGGCTCACAGGTACACAGTGGGATCGGTCAAGTCACAGTTTTCAATGTGCACATGTGATTGGATACCGGGGTAAACTTTCTGCAAGGGCAGTAGAGTTCCAAGTTTTTCTCCCCTCTTGATGGAACCTTTGTACCTAATTGGCTTAATGTAGAAAATTTTGACACAGAAACCTAAAAGAAAGTAAGTATAATTTTTATTACCTGGGCTTCAGTAGCCTTGATTCAGAAAATTAAAACATACTTTTAAGAACAGATGGACAACAACAAAAAAAAAACCAAGTTGAATGAATTTGGGAAAGAAATTGCAGCATCCTATTAAAAAGGAAGGCTAAACTGAGTGCAATGGTCCAGGCCTGTGTCTCAGATCCTTGAGAGACCAAGCAGAAGAATCGCATGAGCACAATTTCAAGACCAAACTGGGAAACATATTAAAACATCATCTAAAAAAAGAAAAGGTGGAAATTACAAAATACCAAAGGGAAAACAGGTCAAGTAAAAATTAAACAGAGGGACTGAAGAATAGTATAGCAAGAAAACATTAAATCGTAGAAAGCTGATGCCGCACGAAGTGAACTCCAAAACATATTCTAGTAAAGCTACCAGACTTTAAAGAAAAATAGAAGTAATAAGTACAAAAATACAAACTTTCCTAAATTGTAAAAGAAATTTAAAAAAGACTAAATAGAGATAGACAATATGGTACAATAATTTTAAGATAAATATATGAGTCAGATCTATAAATGTTGGTAGGTTTAACTTGTCTGTTTAAAATTTTCCAGTTGATTTGAAAAGCAAAACCCAATTGTCTGCTGTGCAGAATAAAACATAATGATGGAAGAGGCTAAAAAATAGAACTAGATAATGATTTGCCAAGCAAGTGGAAGCAACAAGAAAGCAAGTATTCTCATCCTGGAAGAGAATGGAAATCATTGAAACAGCATTAAGGTAGACAATATATTATGGCAACTACCACAGTTCACAAGGATGCTGTAACAGTTACAGCTCTCCATCGACTAAACAACATCTACATAAAACAAACTACAGGAGATACAAGGAGAAAGAGAAACCTGCCGATAAAAAGAATCTAATATACTATTGTCAGTGCTAAGAGGGCAGGTGAGCAAAAACCAGAACAGCCTGGGAGATGCCTGTCCGCGATGCTACCACAAGCTACAGCTGATTAGCACTCAGTAGCCAAGATGAATTCAGGGTAAAATACGCGGTACATTTCGAAGACTTAGTATAGAAAATGTAAACTATCTTTTCATATTAGATTGAAATAATATTTTAGGGATATTGGGTTGGATAAAATACCAAAATGGCTTCTGCATATTTCTTTTCAATTCTTTCATATGGCTCCTAGGAAATGTTAAATTATGTATACTGCTTAGCTTTAAGAAACTCAGTAAGTTATGTCTCATGAATATGTATTACCAAATGTGCCGGACCTCTGCACTGAAAACTACCAGTACAGCAAATAAAGAAGACAGAGGGTGTAAGACATTCATTCACTGAAGGACTCATTACTTTATGAGTTTATGAGATTAAACTCTCATCAGTTTGAACTATATATTCAGTACAAAGCCAACCAAAGCCCCAGCAGGAATTTTGTGGAAGCTGGCAAATTGATTCTGTAATTTATTTACCAGGAATTGCTAAGACGATGTGGAAAAAAAGTTGAAAATCTTCTACTACTAGATATCAATATGTACATTAAAGCTGCTGTAATTAAGACACTGGAAACACACAGACTGACAAATCAGTGAAACGCAATATGGAAACAGACCCACAGATGCTCAGATCCTGATTTATGGCCAAAAAAAAAAAAAAAAAAGAATTGCAGAGCAGTAGAGAAAAGCCTTGTCACATTAAGGTTGTTGAGTCAAATAAAAATCATATTAATAAAAGGAGAAACAAAACTTGAAGAAAACCTAAGGAAATATAGTCATGTCTTCAGGGTTGGCAAATCTGTCAAACATGTTTTTAAAATGTTAATGAAAACCTATTCATAAATTATATCACATTAAAAATACAAATTTCTGGGGCCAGGGTTATAGCTCAGTTGGCATAGCACCTGCCTGGCAAGCACAAGGTCCTAAGTTTGATTCCCGGTACCAAGAAATAAAATAAAATAAAAATTTCTATCAAAAAGACATAAGCAAGTGAAAAGGCAGCCCACAAAGTGGAATAAAAAATTTTATATCTGAGGCAAAGGACTCATCTAAATGAAAAGCTTTCATATATTAATAAAAAGTATGATCCAATAAAAATGGGATATTTGAATAGAAGTGTTACAGAGGATATTATTATTAACTTTATTAAACACAATGAGGTCCATTATGCAAGCACCAGAGTGGATGAAACGAAGTAAGCAGCTGGGCACGGTGATGCATGCTTGCAATCCCATACTGGGAAGGATCCCTGTGAGGAAGAATCCCTGTGAGTTTGAGGTCAGGCCGAGCTACATACAGTAGTGAGTTCAAGACCAGTCTGAGCTATACAGCAAGACCTTGTCTCAAGAAACAAAACAGAAACAAAAACATAAATAGATAGCAGCAAGCATTGTAAATAGGAGGACCCGAATTCATGCACACCTGGATGGAGTGTACACTAACACAACTATTTTTGAACACTGTGGCACTATCTGCTATAGCTGAAGATCCACATATACCGCGTGACCCAGCAGCAATGCTCCTACAGCACTGTGCCAGTTGCTCAGCGTTGATTCCAGTGCTGCGCACGGTAGCTGGGGAACTGCCGCAGGGCAGATGTGAGAATATATGGGGCCGGGAAATAGCTCCGCAGCCCAGCATCTGCCTAAGCACGAGGTTGTGAGTTCAATTCCGGTACCAAAAAATAAGAACCCTGTGAAAAACTACATAGGTCAGCTAGCTCTAAAGTCCCTTGTCTGACTGGTGGACGACAGAGGGCTTTTAAAGTTCCCTTTTGGGACGATAAGTTATAAAATTTACAGAATAAATATTTGTGTTGAAACATTCTTCCTCTGTGGGACTCAGTCTCTCTTTCGTTCATGGACCAAACTGGCTGAAGTTGAACCCGGGACCTTTACACTGAGCTATACTCCCAAACATTTTTAATCTTTTACCTTGAGACAGTATCTCACTCAGTTAGCCGAGATGGGCTTGAACTTGTGGTCCTCCTGCCTTGTAGGCTAGGATTTTGTTTATGAGACTTATGCTCATTTCCACTTATAAAAAACTAGTGAGGTTTGAGTAGGTTATACATCCATTCATTCCAGGGTCACTGTGGTTAGCCAGGCCGCAGATCTCTGAGGTTCACAGGAATCTGATTAGTGCTCTACTTTTCTGCCTATAAATGGCACTGTGATCTTGGCCTGGACCATTAAATGCTACTATTTCAGAGAATTCAGTTTAATAGCACCAGAATTTGTTGTCATTTTAGGATGATAGAGGACAGTCACCAAGTAGATCCTAAAGGGCATGGGTTCCTTCACAGCTCTGGGCTCACGCCAATAGGAAAATATATATTTAATGACTATATATACACTAAAATGTTCAACAATCATTTTCATAATCACCTAAAAGTGAAAACTATCCAATTGTCTATCAAAAGAAAAATAGATTAATATATGAAAATATAAGTATATGATGGATACAACACATTTAAAAGTCACTTTAGATGCAAAAATGTGTTAATTTCAACCATGATATAGAATGAAAGAAGCCCCATCATTGAATTATATCATTAAAATAGGCAAAATTAGCATGTGTACAACAAGCCACTGTCTTGGATCAGCACAGTGACAGCACAGCACGAGAGGACTCTGGGAATGTTCTGGGCATGTTCTGTGTCTTTACCTGGGTGCTGGTCACTCCTCATGGTCACTTTGCGATAATTCATGGAGCTATATGCTAGGAGCATTGTTCACTCTGTGTGTGTGAGAGAGAGAGACAGAGAGGGTGGGGAGGGAGAGAGAGAGAGAGAGGGAAAGAGAGAGGGAGAGAGAGAGAGACTCCAACAGTGTTAAAACAATCAAATAATACAGGATGTAGTGGTGCATGTCTGCAATCCCAGCAGTGAGTTTAGGCCCAGCCGAGACTGCATAGAGAGTTCACGGCCAGCCTAAACTAGATAGCAAGAATTTGTCTCAATCAACCAAATAGCCAGAGTACCAGGAAATCTGCTTTTCCTAGACAGAGAGGCCTTTGGAACTAGCTCACATTTAACTCTTGCAGAAATAACAATATTTATAAATTCCAAGCTTTTTGATAAATGAGTGTCTTTGATGACTTAATGCTGCTGAAACTGATTTTGTTTATAGATTTGAAAAAAAAAACAAAAACACATGGATCACAGAAAGGGCACCTTCAGTGTGTTTGATAGAGTTTGATGGGTTGTGCATAAAGCAGAAGTTTTTAGAGAAAGCGGTAGAACATCTTTGAAAATGCATCCGTGGCTTTGGCATGGTATATCCCTGTATGTTCTAAGTTGTATCATTTTGAAAGAAGTACAAAACTTCTATGTATCAAACCTACATCCAATTATATAAGCATCAGCATCCCCAAGACGCATCCCAGATCTGTGCAAGCAGCTCTCTTACCTCTTCCAGACAGCCGAACACCATTATTGATGGGGCTTTTGTTTCTAAAAGGTTTCTCCTGGCCCAAAATCATTCCATTAAATGGTGCATACACAGTTGATCCATCAGAGCATAGGACATCCACACCTTGGTGAGGCTTCTGATTTCTAGGATGTAAATAATAAGGAGCAGATTGAGGAGCTGTCTTGGAGAACTTTGTTGCCAAGAATGTGACATTAGCCCTCTGTTCCACTGCAGAGTATCAGAAATTGAAGCTGTCAAAACATTTGAGATTTTGCAGGGTTTCTCATTTTGTTTAGCCCAAGTTTAACCACTCTCTGTGGGTAGCAATCTGTTTAACCCAAATTTAAATACTCTCTGTGGGTAATAATGACCATGTTGTAAAGATTAAAGTATTTGAACTAGTACTTGGTATGTGGTAAGCCTTAAACAAATATTAACTACTATTATTATATGATATTTTGGGGAAATGAGACAGTACAATTAAGTAAAATTTATAGCTATCAGAATCTTGACCTCTTCAAGACCATTTTGAAAAGAATTGCCTTTTTATGAGAGCCTATCATGAAAGTATCACATATTACCTTACCATCTTATTTTTCTCTCAGTGAAAAGTCAGTGTACACATCATTTACTGCACATGGTACTTAGTGCAGTGAGTGATACCTCCAGGGTTTATTAAACTGTGTGGAGCACAAATGCAAAATCGTTTCAGATTGTGAGGTTTCTTAAGTTTGTCTCTAACAATCCCTCAGTTCTGGCTTTTCACTGCTGCCCCTAAACTTGTTCTTACCATGCTCTTCTGCCTTCTCATAGGATATCGGAGAATTGTCAGATTGTTAGAATTAGGTGTGAAGTGCCATCCAGTAGATTCCAAGAAAGCCAAGAAGATATTATGTGAATCAATGTATAAGCCATAAAATGTGATACAATTTGAGTGTTAGTTTTAGCAATTCGGGTCTCATCTCATAGTCCTGTTTCAGGTTATTCAAAGTTGGTTTATAAGTAATATCTGTAAGTAACAGATCCACTCTAATTCACTCTAAGTCCAGAGGCTGGGTCAGGAGCAGCATGATTGGTTGGAAGAGAATACAAAAGCTTGAATTCAACTGTGGCCTTCACCATCTCTCTCAGTGCATGACAGGCACCTTAACCCTTTGGCATTCAGTTCAAATTAGTCATCTATAAAATGCAATTGCAGTGTTTGACTTTTCACCTTTGGGAAGCCAGGTGAGATAAGTCAATGGCTGAAGTTGTTGAGAGGGAAAATGGCATTCATCTGTTCCCTTTTCTTTTGCTTAGTTTATGATCCTTCCCCCATCCAGAGTCCATACTTAAAGCAGAGTTCCTAAAGACAATAACGTTACACATATCTCTGGGCAAAAATGTAGGACAATGTAGAGTGAGGGCCCCGAGAAAAGAAGTCAGGAGCCAGAGAGATTGCTGGTTGGTTGGCTATGACACCCCTTACCTCTGGACAGAGTACTGTCCACAGCCATGGCTGTCACAGGTCCGGATCTCATTGGAGGACTTGCCGGCACATATGGTAGCCCATGGCCCAGCCAGTGCTAAAACAGCAGAAACACGAGCGCCTTAGGTATCTCCACTAGTCTCTGGGAGATCCTGAGAAATCTATTTTCACTGTCGTTTTCTTCTAACTTTCTGTAGTTTATTAGGAGGGTCTTACAAAATTCTGTATCTGAATTTGCATATAAAATCGAATTTTTCCCTGGCCCAGGAATTTTGCTATTTGTTTATAAACATTAAATTCTATAGGGACCACTATGCTTAGATTAAACCAAAATAAGCCTCATAGTTAGAAAAAAATAAGTAGGATAAATCCACAAAATAACTGAAATGCCTTGCGGTTAGTTCTAATAAGCAAATCCAAATAAATGTTTGAATTAAGGCAAAACATGCTCTCTGCGAATCAAGTTTATTCAACGCTAAATCTCATGCTTACAGACACAGAAGAGGAAGATCCTAGAAATACATGCAATTTAAAATGTCAAACCATGTAAAGCTAGGGAGGTCAGGAGAGATGTGGGGAAGAGAGTCAAACAAGTACATAAAAAGTTATGAAGCAATAAAACAGAAGAGCGAGCTCTCAGTGTGCATTTTGCAACTTTTAAAAGCAACTTGCCTCTTTAATATTGTCAATTTTCTCATTAATTGACGAATTGCCAGTTGGATTGAATCCTTGATTTCCAATATTAACATTCAAAGGGATAGAGTTAACAAACTCAACATTTCACTTTTAAACAAATGAACAAAAAGGCAAAAGCAAGAGGTGGGTAATTCAATGATTGATATTATTTAATGATACTTTTCTTTCCACTAATATAAAGCAGCTACAGAATATGGCCATAGAGCATATTTAATGCAACATGGGTATTATGCTGGGGATATAGCTCAGTAGCACAGTGCCTGCCTGACAAGCGTGAGGTGCTGAATTTGATTTCTGGTATGAAAAAAACAAAATAAAACAACACTCCTCCCAACAAATGGGTGTCAAAATCTTCCACTGTGAAGCCAAGCCTAAGATCAACATAATACCATCAAATATAATCAAATATAATACCACCACTTTGGCAATTACTTACTTTTGAGAATTGAGGCAGATATTTAGCAATTTATTAATCTGTTTTTCTTTCATGCCATGACCATTAAATTAAGGAAACATTCCCTTTGTCCTCAGCCATGTGAGCTTTTGCATCAGTAATTTTCTAAAATTATCATACAATTTGGTTTTCATTTTCTAATTTTGTTCCAATTAAATTCCAGGCCACAACTGAATTTTCCAAAAGTTTTCCCACTCGACTTTTACATTGTCCTCATTAAAGAACCAAAACACTCAAGAGAAATGATTGGGAAATGCCACCGTGTACCATATATCCTTCCAATCCCACTTTAAATAATTAATACATGAGTTCCTGTTGTGACTGTGCTACTAATGACTTTAAAGTCTACCCCTGAACTTAGTTTTTTAATATATATTAACCAAGATTCTAAAATTGTGCTTTTGACTTACCCGTGGAAATCAAAGCAACCAGAAGGAGGACTCTTGTGAGGAACATCTGGCTTTTGCTCTCTTTATGTTTCTGCCTTTAACGAGAATTGTCACCACCCTCTTTGAAGAATATTGAAATTTGAATGAATATTTTCTGGTTATTTAGCCTTTGAATTTTATATCTCTCACTTTCTTTAACTTAGTGCAAGACACAGAGAGCATAAGAGAATGGATCAAGTCAAATTCTAATAGTTTATGGAATTTGACTCACATGTTAAAACTGATGTAAAAACCTTTGATCTGAAGAAACCAGTTTTATTGGAAATACTGACTAAATATTAACAGAAAATGATAAGGCAAGGTACAGATTAATGGTCTTTGGGATAGTAGCTGGCAGGACAATATGCATAAGAAAATGATATATTTAGTACTGTTAGTATATCTTTTGTTCAGTTCTTGGGTGGCATATAGTTCAGCAGAGAGTGGATCGTTATTAATATATGATCTTGTATAACATATTCTTCAATTTATCTGTTTTCTTATTATCAATTCAGTTACTATCATGTGTGCATGTATTGTGTGTGTAATTTTACCATTTTAAAAAAATTGTTTATTTTGAATGTGATTTTAAATATTTGTTCATTTGTGATGATACAACATTAACATCCATGGTATAATCATACAATGAAGTATAAAAGTTTAAATGAGGACTGTTTACAAATATTAACACAGGTTTGTAGATATACTATTGAATAAAAAGTGACTTTTAGAATGGTATTTATAATAATATAACATTTATTTCAATCTTGAAAATAAAGTATTATATGACTGTTGCATATATAACAAACATAAAAATATACATGGATAAAATTTAGAACACTAATTACCTCTGGAGAAGACAGAAATGAACTATAGAGATGTGCAAGGTACTTAAACTCTACAATATTTCATTTTAAAAAAAAATAAAAGATCAGAAGCAAATATGTAAAGATGTTAATTTGTTAATCATTGGAGCTAGACCATGAATGTTTAATTCTGTACGTTTCTATGTACTTAGATTTTCTGTATGTTTTAATATATATTAGCAAATCCTTTCTATTGCTAATATTAGATGAGGGCACACATTTAAATAATTTGCCTGAAATAAATTAATATTAAAAATCAATAGCTTTTCTATACATTAATAATGTTCTAGCTGAGAAATAAATCAGGAAAACAATTCCATGCACAACAGCTTCAAAAAATAATTAAATAAAACAACTGGGATCACCTCTTATTAAAAAGTTGCTGCACGTCAAAAGAAATCTCCAACATAATGAAAAAACAAACTCACACACTGGGAAAAATCTTAGTGAACTGTCCCTCAGACAAAGGACTTCTGTCTAAAACATATAAAGAATTTTTTAAAAAATCAGACCCCTAAAATTTCAAAGATCCAATCCAAAAATGGGCATCTGAGATGAATACACAATTCTCAGATGAAGAAACACAAATGGCAAAAAAATACATGAAAACATGTTCATCATCATTACTCACTAGAGAAATGCAAATTAAAACCACACTGAGATTTCATCTCACTCCTAAAAGAATGGCCAGGATCAAGAAATCTACCAATAACAAATGCTGGAGAGGCTGTGGGGAAAAAGAACACTCCTGCACTGTTGGTGGGAGTGTAGACTGGTGCAACTATTGTAGAGGTCAGTCTGGAGATTGCGCAAAAAGCTGGGATTGGGGGCTGGGAATTTAGCTCAGCGGCATAAGTGCCTGCCTTACAAGCAGGCAGTCGTGAGTTCGATCCCTGGTACCGATAAAGATGAAAAAGACCCCCCTCCCCCAAAAAAAGCTGGGATTGGAAGTCCCATTTGTTGCAGCTATTCCACTTCTAGGCATATTCCCAGAAGAACTGAAAACATCATATCACAGTAATATGTGTGCACCCACGTTTATAGCAGCACAATTTGTAATAGCCAGATCTTGGAGACAACCTAAGTGTCCATCAAATGAGGAATGGATAAAAAAGTTGTGGTATTTTTATATAATGGAGTACTACTCAGCTATAAAGAAGGATCACGTTGAGATATTTATAATAAATGGGCACAGCTTGAGCCATACTCATAAGCAAAATAAATCAAACTCACATGTATAAATACCGAATAGTTTCCCTAATGTAAGAAATGGTAAGAATACATAAAAGTATGTGGTAATCATGATTTCCCATTATATTGCTTTGAAGCCTTATAATGTTTTCATTCATTAACTGGAATGGTTTTATTCTGGGTTGTTTGATTTTATTGTCTGTGATGGTATGAATAATTATTTTGAAGAAAACAAGACAATATAATAGCTAGTGCTGATTTAATATCATCTTGTTTTGAAGTCCCATCAAGCTTTTGTTCTTCTGACTCCATCGGTTTATCATGTTGTATGTTATTGGATTTTATTATATGTGATAGTATAAACAAATTTTTTATGGACAAGGAGATAATATAGAAACCATTGCTTATTTTCTGTTAGTTGGTTCTAAATATCCTGTAATACTTTCATTCCTCGAATGCTTTCACACTATCATGTTATGTTTGATGCTATAGTATATGAAATTATACTAAAAAATTTCAAAGAAAGAGACATTATGGTAACTACTGTTACGTTGGGTTATCTTGTAGTGAAACACTATGTTCCTTAAATTGTTCTGTTCTGACCTGTGTTGTTATGTTGTTATGTCCTCTTTTATGTTAATCTCCTTTTTAAAAAAATTTTTTTGATTAAAAAAAAAAGAGACTGAGAATATCCAAAGCAATCGGAAGCAAAAAAACAAGGCTGGAACCATTATAATACCCAATTTCAAATTATACAACTAAGCCACAGTAACAAAAAACAGGATGGTACAGGCACAAGAAATAGAAATATATACCAGTAGAAAAGCATACAGGATACAGAAAAAACTAAAACAAAAAACATTACATTCCCTCTAATATATGGGACCCTCCCCCCCAAATGGCATGAATGTGGAAAGGAAAGAGGAAGGGAAAATTGAAAAGGGATGTGAGAAAATAGAAGGTAATAGGAGGTTGAATTTGATCGAAATACATGCACTGAAACCCAGTATTTTGTAAATTCAATAATAAAAATACACTGTTTAAAATTGGCAGTACCTGCAGGACATTGGATTTGTGGCCACATATTGTTACCTTTGCTGCATCCATGCCCTCGCCATGTCTCATCAGGGCCAGAGGGGACTTTCTCTACCTTGACTGTGATTGTTGGCTGTGTGGCTTTGATCAACAAAGTGAGGCAGAGCTGACTGCATCTTATAGCCTGGACCCTGCACAGCTTGCCGGCCTTTGTCTTCACACTCAACTTCTCGTGTCTGACATCTGCTGAGGAGCTTGTTTCTGGACTAATCTGCCCTGGGAAGAACATGGAAGTTCTGAGGAGCGGCGCCACTCCAGAGGTACCTGGCTCAACACACGCAGTAGAGATGTGGACAGTAAGAGGTGGACACATGAAGCTGCTGAAACTGTATTTGGTAAATTATGCAATGATGATTAAACTATGCTAGTTAATTTAGACTTCATGAACAACCTTCAAGGGGGCACTCAATGTAGGGTGCAGAATGCCGAGATGTCCTGAAAAAAGAATAGATCACTGAATAAAACAGGAAAATTTGAAACACGACACCAATGTATACGGTATATAATATATTACAAAAGTGTTCACTTTAGGCCACTAGGAGGAAACATCAACTATAAATAATATTGAGACATCTGGCAAGAAATAAAATCTTGATCCATACATCAAGGTTAGCCAAATATGTATACAAAAAAGAGAGGGGAAGGTGGGAGGCAGAGAGGAAGCAGTGAAGGACAGAGGAAGAGGAGTCAGGGGAAGAGGGTGGGAAGCTAACTTATGAAGTTCACAAAGTATGAATAATTTTTAATGGTCATGGAATAGTACACCCAAAGTACATTCAAAGCCCCCAAAATTATGAAGGAAACTTTGGCTAATGTGTTGCTATCGCAGCAATTAACTTCTACAAAACAATATCCTAATCAGAGTCGAAAGACAAGAACCTGGGGAAAATATAACACATATGACATGACAGGTAAGTACTCATTTTCCTAACATACCTACAAGTCTTAAAAAGTGAAGGATATAAACAAGCTTATACAAAAATATTCAGAAGATGTCACAGACTTTCCTTAAAAAGATACAAATTACTAATATGCATTTAGAGATTTTTTTCCCACTGCACCCATAATTAAGATTTTATGCATAGGACCCTGGGTTCAATCCCCAGCACCCCCTCACACATAGTAAGCCAGACTGCTGGAGTATTGCTTTTCACCTATCAAATTGATATAGGAGAACACAACTCCCAACCCGCTAGATATCTGGTATGAGTTTGTGTTCTCTAAAGTTGAATAATAAATTTTAGGAACAACAAAGGTTAGGAGCAAATATTGAGAGAGAGAGAAAGTTTCTATCTGAGAGACAGAAGAGATCCCGAGCAGGTTGCCAGGAACTCTGTCTTTTCTAGGGACTTTTATGGAGTAAAAATCATGGGGTGAGAGGGGTGGGGGCAAAGGGAACACGTGAGGTGGGCCTAAGATGGGACAGAACTATGGTTAAACAATAAATCAGGTAAAACTGATTAAATCAGGAACAAATGAGGAAGCAGTTCCTGTAGTCCCTTAACAGCAGGGACTCTTCCCCAGGGGGTTGGGATGGTGACTCCTGAGTTCCTCAAGGTGATAGAGAACTATTTAGAATATCAGTCCTGGCTGGGGATTTAGCTCAGCGGAATAAGCAGCTGCCTTGCAAGCAGGCAGTCGTGAGTTTGATCCCCGGTACCGATAAAAAGGAAAAAAGACAAAAAAAAAATTATAAAAAGAATATCAGTCCTTAGGATATGGGTGCATTTGTTTGATCTTTTGTCTTGAGGCCTGGCCCACATCAAGAGGTGTCTGTCTCCCCCACAGTTGGCAAGGTATCTGGGCTTCTACACTGGTTCCTGTGAGGACCTAGCCTTGTCTCACTGCCTAGAATATTTTGAACTAACTCAGATGCCTGTAAAAAAATCAGCAAAACAAGGGTATGTAAATGGAGGCACAATGAAAATATAAGTTTAACATTTTAAGAGAACAATTTGGCAACACACTTCACGGTTTTACAAGCACAAAACCTTTGCTCCAGCAATGCTACTTCTTCTGCCTGTGGCCTGCTGTCCTTCTGTTTTCCTGCCTTCAGTGTTAACCTTTTCTAATCCATCTTTCTC